TAATTACTGTCAATTTTTGTCAAGGTGTTAATTTTGTATCCCTCTTAGTAGCTCGAAATATGAAAGTTGTCAGGATCTGTATACATGTACACAATGATGTATACAAGTTCGTAACTAATAATTACAACTAGTTCATTGTAACTCTACCTAAGCTTCAGTAATACTTATAAATAGTGTAAGGTATGATTGTAGGTATGACAACGATTCTAACTTCAATTTAATAATGCAAGGTGTTATAAATTGCATCATAAAATATACTCACAGCGTAGTCAAATTGCTCAAGCCACTAAAAGTTCGATTGGAAAGATATTCGACGTCATTATGGATTATCTGTCCTATTTCATTATTAAAAGTGTTACAAATTCATATTTCTACTTATAATATCAGCTTTTGCTATTTCTGAAATATCAATTTATATATACATATGCAACAGTTAAATAGTACAGAATACAGTATCCATCAACTCCACATAACGGTATAGACATACAATATTTGCAAGTTCGGATATCGCAAAAAGCTATAAGGTGGTAATAGCTCCAAATAACTGTTTCTAATCCACCTGTAATTATAATAAATAATATGCTTGAATTAAGCTTTTATGGGGTGGTATGGAATAGGGTATTTTCATTTGAAAATTTTCTTTATAACATTAGCGATAAGCTTTGAATTACATGTTTGTCTTCGTTTTATCCGTTGTGCTCAATTGGATAACAGAGATTGATATATCAACGCAACTGATCGATTGATTGTTACAAGTACAGCCAGTGACGCAAGTCGAGGAAGTAGCTAGAGAAAAGTTAAAGGTATTAAAATTTTAGCAGATATCTTAGATAGAGCAACTGTTACGATAATTAAAACTCTTTTTCATATGATCAGTCTAGTCAAATGGAGAAGGAAGCTGCTATCCAGTAAACTTACCGTTAGGTAAAAGGGCAATACATATTACTATTGACAGAGGGAGCATATACGTTGAAAGTGATATATAGCCCATCATTACTTACATTTAGCTAAATAAGATTGAAAAGAAACCTTATTATTATCATTATTATTACCTATATATTTGTTATGAATCATATGCTGTTTCGTATAAAAAATTTAATAAATTTCGATTAAACGTGATTTTACGTAGCTAACATTGGCTGCATAATATTAATATAAAACTGATCGTAATCTATGTATCATACTCTGAAATAAAAATAACTGGCAATTTTAAACATTTTAATTTTTAAATTTTAATCAAGTACAAGTAAACGGTGCTGATAACTGAAAATGTTAGATTATATCGTTGTTGAAATTGTGTATTAGAATAGATATTTTAAGATGCAATCGAGTACATCAGATGCCTGACACTTCTATCTTTAAAGATCTTTTAATGATTTCTAAATTGAAATCTCCTTGAAGAAACGAAACGAAATTTGATGATAGATTCTAACCTTTATTCGTTCAGTTTTAACCTTTGTTTTAGCGTAACAATTTGATCGTAATAGGTGAAATTGCCAGAAATTATAATATTTTTGTTATAAGGTTAATCGGCTAGTAGAAGAATTGGTGAATTTCATTGTACAACATTGATATAAGTAGATATTTAAACATTTGCATCGATTGCTAAACTAACTAAAAGCTTTCTTGATGAAAAGCGCCTTTAATCAATCTAATCACAACGGATAATCTAGAGAAAGCTTTTTAATGGACAATTTCCTGAAATTACGGAAAATGCAATGGCGATTATATTTCGAAATTTTGATTTAATTTAAATTGGCATGTGATTAGATCCAATAATAATTTGCTAATAATTGCATATGATGTCATAAACGACTTCATACGCTATTCATTGTTGGATAAAATTCTCCTTATTTTCCTTTACAATGGATTAATTAGTGACTGCTAACATGACGCCATTTATACAAATAGATCATGAAAATCATATAAGTATTTTATAATATCATTTACTATTGGAATTGGTATTAATTTTGTTTTCTCCTATTTATTATTTAAGCAATATATAGCAATCATACCGTCTTTACAATTGTGTTGAAATAAGACAAAAAATTTTACCATATGCTTACTTCTATAAACATATTGAAAAATTGGGCTTGGTCTGCAATAACGAATTGTGCAAGGTTACCAGGCATCATTATAACAGCTGATTCTATACTAGCTACAGTATATGACTCTCAATATCTTATGATAGCTCTTCATTTTGACAATTTTACTCCGTGGTATTGTATAAATATGAATGGTTTTTGCACGCTTGTTATAGTAACAGTATTTGCTGAGAGCTCAAGGCACTCCAACTAAAGTTCTAATAGTATACCCTGTTTACGACTAATAATTTTCTTTATTACTTGGTATTCTCTTAACCAATCACTATCGATATCGTATACATCTATCACGTTAGATAGTAATCGCTTGGTAATTTTGTTCATCATGGTAGAATTATATGGTAGAATTATAGGTAACTTTACTGCAATAGTTGTTCTATTATCCGGCTAATGCTACAGTAGTGAGATAACAAGCAACAATAATATGTATATCTTATTGTCACAAAACTACTTTGCAACCAGATAAAGTAATGTATGATCAATAAGTCAATTCCTTGAACCACGTATCAAGAAACGATATCTACACTATCAGAAACACTTTTGCTCTATTAGCAAACTAGACAAAGACTTAAACGCCTCGTATTCTGCGTTAAACACTAAGTTTAAGAATCGACTTTATTACACGATATACTTCATTTATATACAGTACTCTTCCTCAATAGTTCATGAATCATAGTTAGTACGATTGACTTTGGAATCATTCACTGAATTAGATAATAATTTTAGCTACTGCTCCCTTAATACAGACAACAGTATTTACAAACATAGACATATGATGACTAATACAGAATAGTCAGATTACGATAAGTCTCCTATCACAGAACATTTCGACGATAATTTACAATCTACCATAAGTAAGTTACAATCACAATGATTCGAACTGTAATTAGATAATTTGCATTCCTACTATAACTATTAATTTCAGTATGTGTACATGTGTCACTGTCATAAAAAGTCAGTACTATGTTAAAACACAGTATATCCAAATTAGAAGTTAACTAAATAAGGACTAGCTAACAGAATTATCCTAACATAGATATTTCTACTCTAATACAGTATATAACACTGTCACACTTATCTACATATACTTGTATATAATACAGATATTTATTAGATGGGAATAAGAACGCCTTAGCAATACAGTACAATTCTTTATATATTTTTATTATCATCACCCATGCGTGTATTTCAGATGCAATTCTAGTCCTTTCTTGATTTCAATCGTCAATTCTTAACCACATTACAACAATTTAATTATCTATTTTTCAAATGGGATAATTTCTCCTACTAAAAACTTCTGTTTACTCACTTTCTCTTTCATGATATTCTCATTTCAAGATTAAATTAAAACCGGATGTAGGGTGTTTTACTAAAAAATTTTCTTGAAGAGTAAATATTTGTAGTAAATTTCTGTATACCAGCAATGCGTATGTAAATAAATCAAGCATCACCATAACTTTGTACTACATTATTGTTACGGAGCTTGATGCTCCTTGATAAGTGGCTAGTAGTAAAGCTGTCAACCTATCGTTGGACTCGATTTTTATAGTATGGGAACAAGTTCGTTTTCCTTTACTGAGGGTCTGCGGAGTTAGTCGAGGAACCTTAAGAGTAGATAGTTTACTTTATGTACGATCACGAAAGCTGTTTTGTGACAATTATTTAGGTTTGTTACAACTACGATTGCAACACAAACGACTAACGAATACTACAAGATCGATTTCCAATCAATTTCTCAATCGTCCCACCAATTGAGCTAAGCCCTACAGCAATTAACTATAAGTCTGTGAGCGTTTACAAAGGTTAGACAACGATGTGCTAGATCGTCTCTCAAACTAGTATCCAAAATCTCGTACAAAAACAATCAACAGCTGTGTACGGCAACTTAAGTTCATTTCTCAGCAAGTACAAATGTTCCCTCCAACATCTAAACCGAATATGATATTTCTAGAAATCTTCAGATCAAGATAACCTAAACCCAGTTTAGATGAGTTATCCAATCACACAATGACAACGCATGCTAAATATTTCCAACACGACTACACTTAACCTTAATCAAAAACAATCAATTACTTCACCAAGTCTAAACATAGACAACCGGAAAATACATAAGATGATTCACCTATTTTCTAGCAGTCTTTGCACGACAGTACTATACAAATGATGACTAGGCATGATTTCGTAGCTCAATTTAATTGCTAATTTTCTACAGCCCTGTTACGGCTATGTCATACTGAATGCTTGCATAATGAATTCTACTGTTTGTATATATCACTGCTATGCAAAATTGATAATTTTGCTATGACAATTTTGCATAGCAGTGGATATATATATCGTTCATTTCAGTATTGTGTACAGTTCGCCTAAGTATTGTCGAACACGATATCATGTAGTCATAAGCATTACCATAATATCATACTACATTAACGCTAGCCATGGACAACGAGGGAAATAATTCCCAAATAGATCATGCAATTTACATATTTTCTAGCAGTCCTTGCACTTTAGTACTATACGAATGATGACTAAGCGTGATTTCATTGCTAAATTTGTCGCTAATTTTATTATACTGTCTAAAAAGATGCTCATTGCTCAAAGGCAGCGATCATGTTCGAGTAAAAGGTGCAGTACAACGAGGGTGTCCAATACTCAGTGTCCTGGACGAGAGACAGTATAGCAGCAATGGACCCACTAGGTGTAATTTTGTCATTGGTTACTACCAGCTGCTCATACCATAGTAAACTATAATACTGTTGTCATGGTAAAATTGTAATAGGAATGATTTGTACAGTACTGCCATACGTAAACTAGGCTAGTGGAAGTTTCTGCCTGCTTCTTGCTTAGCTCTTTCCATTATGCCATCAAGAAATCTGTGACTCTATAATTTCAACAAGAAAAATGGCTGAAACTGATGCAGTAAACGATGGTTTGTAATTCATGATAGTCAAATTTCTTAACAAGATTGTTTCTACCTTCTTAATAGCAGCAATGATTGCATCGAAGGATGCAATGTTATGATCGTCCTAGAAGGATCATATTCCTGCATATTTCTACCTCAACGAATACTGTACTGTAGATAATAACTTATAAATAACTGATTCTATTTTTAAAAAGTCATGCTTAAATAACGTTCTACAGATTGCATAATACTTCTCGTTGCTCGTATGTCAAGTATGTAACTGGCGAATACTGTACTGTAGATAGTGTTATAAATAACTGATTCTACTTTGAAAAAGTCTTGCTTAAATAACGTTCTACAGAGTGCATAATACTTCTCGTTGCTCGTATGTCAAGTATGTAACTGGCGAATACTGTACTGTAGATAGTGTTATAAATAACTGATTCTACTTTGAAAAAGTCTTGCTTAAATAACGTTCTACAGAGTGCATAATACTTCTCGTTGCTCGTATGTCAAGTATGTAACTGGCGAATCGTACAGTAGATAATGTTATAAATAACTGATTCTATTTTGAAAAAGTCTTGCTTAAATAACGTTCTACAGAGTGCATAACACCCCTCGTTGCTCGTATGTCAAGTATGTAACTGGCGAATCGTACAGTAGATAATGTTATAAATAACTGATTCTATTTTGAAAAAGTAATGCTTAAATAGCGTTCTACAGAGTGCATAACACCCCTCGTTGCTCGTATGTCAAGTATGTAACTGGTGAATACTATACAGTAGATAGTGTTATTTATAACTGATTCTATTTTCAAAAAGTAATGCTTTAATAACGTACTACAGAGTGTATAATATCTCTGTACGTTGTTCGTATGTCAAGTATGTACCTAGTGAATATTTTTGGATTCTTGTTTGCCAATTTACCTTCGTAGTGCTATTGCACTGTATTTTAATCTCTCAAAGTAGGCTTAATTAAAGCAACGCTTTGTGCAGATTGTAAACGTACTGTAGGGATTAGAGTCTAAGACTACAGCACACAGCCTTATTCTATTCTTGCGTAAGATACAACTTTCATACGTTGTATTTTACACCTCAGTTAACAACTGTTGATCAATCTCTTTTTGATAACCCATTAATTACTGAAATCGATTGATAGTAATAACAATTTATAATTCTGTATCATTTTTATGGCATTTATCATTGAACATTATTGGGTATTCGTGTTACATTTCAATGATGCTAGCCTCAAGCACAATATTGAAAGACTAAAAATGTTATTGCACATAGAAGGATGAAGTGTTAAAAAACAAATTAATAGTATAACAGCCAGATTGCACTATGCTTGCTATCGATCAAAAGTGTTGCAAATAGGACTGATTTGATAAATCAGATCAATTTCCACATCGTATATTAAAATATTTTCTAGCTGCTAGTCCACTACTTACAGCTTCTGTATATAACTCTCATTGCGTTACAATTCCTGTATAAAATTAAAATAAAATTCCAACCTAATCTTTTCTATTCTGCCTTTTATTCTGTATAGACTTACTGCACCAATCCATTAAAAGGAAAAAATCAAGCGGCAAAGAAGTAAGTTTAGTCATAATCCCCGACGTTAGGCCGTAATTTCTGCTTGAAATAATGTCACAAAACGAATCTGCCAATATTCTAAGTACGAGTACAAATACGCTGCTGCATACGTGCATCAATTCGTCTTAGATTGCTCGTCTGTTTGAGATATCGCCAAAGGACATCGATGATAGTATACAAAGTAGTACAGTATATTAAGCTTGAAAGTAATCGTACACTCAATTTTATTGGTGCATAAGCATACTAAGATAGAAAATAGTAATAAGTGTCTCTTATCTCTTTCTATGGTGATATTTATGAATACTGTCCAGAGACAGAAGGCTCAAGCGATGGTAACCTCCTTTCTAAATAATCATTTGCCCCCAAGGTATAGAATTTCCAACGAGAATTATCTGCAAGTTATTCAAAAGAGTATTACTCTTGAAAATAAGGGTATCACTAAGATACAAAAAGCTAAAAAAAAGCGATGTAACATAACTCCATATCGAGAAAAACACAGAGAAAAACTACACTGCAGCTTGGAACTTAGTCAAAGGTACGTTATATAAATCTCTATCAACAATTCCCAGGCATTGCCTTAATTGATAGATGTTAGTTGCTAACATAGCTTTAAATGATGCAGGTTTGATGATTATATGCCACTACATAATTTATGGGTCGATTACATGTCCTGCCTTCTCAACATACAGAAACGAAGTACAACTTCAACCTGGTAAGCAGCTGACCTGATGTGATATACTTGATTTACCGTAACCAAAACAGTTATGACTTTGAACTTTATAAAAATTACCACAGAGATTTACGTGATGATTCATCATTATGCATAAATTTGATAATGGAGGTATAAACATTGTCTTTCAGCAGTCTAAGCAAGGAATATACTCAGAAACTTTTAAAAGCGGATTATCACGGCTGCTGGATTACCGGTACAAATGCCACTATGCGTAATTCCGTATTGCGAAACCTTTCATTATTTAATAATTTAATCACTTAAACTTTACACTTTACATTCCAGTGACTCGATCTAGGTGTCCGTCCTACATTGGCATATCTGGAATTGTGTTACAAGAAACCAAAAATGCTCTTACATTAATTGCACCCAGTAATAAAGTCAAATGTAATTATCCAGTAATGATTGAATATTTAACACACAATATTTTAGTGAAAATTTTTTTGTATGATAGTTTGTTACTGTACTGCCAGAACGTTCAATAGTAATTCTATAATTATAGGTTGTTGTATTTAATTTTCTGCTTAACTGCATCAATCCCATAAACTCAATGAATCATCCTTCATTTATGATAGGCATACCGAAAACAAACAACATTTTCACCTTCAAAATTGGAGATTTAGTTTTTACTCTCTATGGTAACCAGTTTCGATATAGGTCAACTGACAGGGCTGCAAGAAAATTCAAGCTAAAATCAACGATTGATTTGTGAATCAGTATTCATGCTTCAATTTTGATACAAGGCTGTATTAATTGTACTGTATTTGTTCATGATTCGATTTCTAACCAATTGTTATATTAACAGAAAATCTTTAGCGATATTTAATTTAAGCCTTATTTGGTAATCCACTTGAAAATATTGATCTTTCTTGGATGCTGTTACGCATTCTCGAAGCACTCTAGGCTATTTAAGAATTCTATATTTCGAGAAAAACATATGTGTACAGTAAATGTATGTGTAAATAATACATAAAATATACAGTAATACGTGAGTGAATTATCGATAATTATAATTCATGTACGGAGTATGCACGAAATCGGATATGCTAAGCGCAAATTTTTACTCTTCAATGGGCAAAGATTTGGGCCCTAGTTAGAAGCCAAAGCCGTACACTATAAATAGTAAGTAAGAAAATCTAGATGCCATTCATCAATAGACTAGGCGATGCTAACATCACATTTATTACAGTAGAAATTGAATTCTTATAATGATTATTTGTAAATTCGCCCAGTGGGAATCACCACCTGGCATTATTTCAATCGGTGCCGTAGAATATAAACCCAGTTCAGTAGATAGGGGTGTAACACAGTCAATAGTAGCTATTCGATTATATTCTTACTGATATTAGCAGTCATTCATTACTTATAATGACGACATGGATTCATTTTTTTTCATCTTTATGCAACGCTAATTTTGCATTACTTGAATTTCTTGTCAGAATTTTCTTTTTTAAAGTAGGTATGTATACTAGTATGGGAAGTTGAAGACGTTGCCAAGTACTGTTTGTTAGTTACGGATACCCACCCATACAGTAATAGCTGACATTTGATCCGGAAGCATTGATGTTTTTAGAAAGGAAGGGTGAGGGAGCTAATGCTGTAACGTCTAATCCTATTGCCATATTTCAATTTGAGCAATATGACGATTCAAAGAATTGTGTTGTAGATGTATCATTTCCCCTATCAGTTATTCTGTAACTTAGGCGTAGTAACTACTGTAATTAGCAGATTAATCCATTCAATGAAGGGTATTAACAGTATTATAGTCTAGCACGGTCATTATTGATATTTCTTGATGATATTTATGTTAGTCAATCGTATGCGTACACGTGGACAGTGAGCAGTACAGTACTGTGCACCGTGCAGTTCTGTCGAGCCAGTCATCTAGCTCATTTACAGTATACTGTACTGTACAGTACAGTGTAAAGTTGTCCCTTTTGAGCATAAAGTTAACCAACCATAAGAAACTAGAATACTGTACTGTACTGACTGACTTACCGTACAGTATCATGCTACAGTACTACTGTACACTGTACACTGTACACTGTCGTACGCGCCCGAGAACCCTGCAATTGGCATACTGTACAGTACCGTACTGTACACAGTATGTACAGTACAATGCAGGCCATACTTTACACTGTAGAGTATTCAACATTTTGATACACGATTGAACAGTACAGTACAGTACTGCTCCAACATTACTTGTCAACGCACATGGGGAAGAGGTCAGCCCAGCACTCAGCAGTTCCCCCAAAAATAAAAAACAGATGAAAAAGTGACCACATCCCACCGTGCTACACAGTGCAGTGTAAACAGGGAAAGTACTGTACAGTACAGTATGTACTACAGTACTCAGTGTTTGTATCACAGTTATCATCACACAGTACAGTACAGTACTACAGTAGTGTACACTGTGCAGTACAGTACATGTACTGTACGTATTAGAAAGGTTGTGTGATAGCATGCGAGTACGTCTGAGCGGATCAATATTAAACCGGGAAAGCTGGTCAAGAAGTGAGAAAGACGTTATCGTTCTTTTAGAAATCCCTTCTTTGAAGTAGCCCCTGGCGTAAAATACAGTAAAAGAGAACGTCAAACGTCTGGCCCTCCCTCCACGACTATTGTGCTGTACAACAATTTAATAATAATAATAATGATAATAAGTATAATTAATTATTATTATATAATATATTGTACTGTACAGTACTGTACAGTGTACAGTGTTATACAGTACTGTACTGTACAGTACAGCACACTACTTTACAGTACAATGTATACTGAGTGTACAGTACTGTACAGTACTGTACTGTACAGTGCAATGAGACCCAAGTGCAATACACTACAAATACTGGATGCAGTACAGTACTATAGAGTACTGCACACTGGTAACCGTTATGTGAGTGCAATTGGCAGACGGACAGAAGCTGTCCC